AAAAAATGTAAGTAAGATAAAGGCAATCCTAACTCATAGTAAAGGATATGCACAAAGGTAAAAGATAATTGCAAGTCCAGATCTACTCATGGTAGAGGATATGCACAAAACTCACTTCTACCCGCTATACACTTGGTAGAAGGAAAGATAAAAGAGATCCTAACTGTAATACCTAAACTGTACTATTGACGTGTTCCAATTCTTTACTCACGACAAGAACAGTAAAGGACAGATTTTCAGGACTCTATAATCAAGATATAGATAAGAAATAACCTTATCCAGGTAAAGGTAAAGATAATTAACTTCAGGTAAAGGTACGAGATAAACTCAATTAAGGTAAAGATACAGATACGCTCAAGGTAAAGGTACGAGATAAACTCCATTACAGGTATGAGATAAACTCAATTACAGGTAAAGATAAATTCATTTAAGATACAGATAAAGATAACACACATCTACCAATCCATATCACTAGTAGAGAGACAGGTAAACAAACAGTATACCAGGTGCAAACTCAAGATACTAAGATATGTTAAACTCAAATTTTTGAGAAGATAATAACATAGGAGATAACAAACTAAGTTAAACAGACTTACTGCTGAATATCAGAACGATCCAATTCTAAATGACACATTCTAATTTCAACCTAAGAGACACTCAAGGAACAACTAATATGTATTGATATATTTCTGAGCCAAGTGAGGGCACACATCCAGGGTGATCAATCCTGAACCCACGCTAAAACACCGACACAGTAAGTGAATATGAATGCATAAGCTTTATGGTCCGGAACCACAAAACCATACAACACTATTAAAGAAAATCTTTGGACTGTTTTCCGAATTATCCCTGTAAATATCTATTCAACTCAGAACTCAAGATGGGGAAATTCCCATATATCCATCCTGTACTCCTATGATATGCAGTTGGACTTTTAAGAGAAAACAAACAACAAAATTAACAAGTCCATAAACTAAGATAATAACCAACATTAAGATAAGATAAAAAAAAAAAATAGAAGGCAAAATAGCACAACATCTTATGGTTTTTGCCAGGTAAACAAAATCGATAACCAGATCTTAAGCAACCAAACTGGTGCAGAAGTGATAAGGGATTAATGAGATCTAACGATATGAAGTTGAAATGGAAAATCAATCCGTCGATAACTATCCATTTAACCTGGTTGGGGAAGATTTGTCGGTTTGCATGTAGCACAGATTTGCATTAAGCGATATAGCCACGTACAGTTTGACGCATCTTCGGCCAGTAATAAAGTTCAGATATTCGACGGAAAGTTTTGTAGAAACCAAAATGAGCTGCAGTAGGATGGTCATGAAAAGTGGCCAAAACCTCTGCTCTATTAGGAGTTGGAACGACTATCTTCCAATCCGACATTTCAGTAAGGGAATCTATGGAACTTAAGACATGTTTATACAAAACACCATGTTCAACTTTAAAATCAGGAAATTTACTTGGTACATTCTGTACATTATACAACATTTTTTTAACAATGGACTGGTTAGATGACGGACTCTCAACTCATACTCTAATTCAGGAGCTAACAGATGCTCTACCTTGAACGCAGACATATTACACAACAGAAATATACAAGAGAATGAGTAAAAGTAGGCAAAGTTTAACTTACTCTCTGTCCTCAAATTAATATTCTGAAGGGATACCTATACCAGTAATGTTTAATTGTTTTGGTCCAGTTATGAAATCCAATGACATATACTGCTACAACACCCTAAGGAACCTAAAATTTCAAAACTGTTATTTCGAGGTAGTGACTCAACTTATTGGCTACTCCGGACTTGTAAAAATATGTGAAATAGTTAACTTTAGTTATTTAAATTTTTAATTAATTTATTATTAATTTAAATTGTTATTTAATCAATCAAAAACAAAGCAATTTATTCAGTCTACACAGTATATAGCAAAAACAAGTCTATTTAAGATATAGATATAGATATAAGGTAATGTCCAAAAAAAAAATTGAAAAACAAAACTAAAAGTTAAAATGAAAATCTAAAAGCACAACCAGTGAAAACCACAACAACCCAAGATCAAAACCAAAAGTTAAAGGAGATATATATATACATATATATACATATATATATATATATATATATACACATATATATATATTTTAAGGCAGAAGTGGAAAAGAAGCCCCACGTTGGGCGCCAATTGAAACGAATAATCGTGTGAGCCAATTGAAACGAATAAAATGTGTGAATTGACAAAGTTCAGAAGAACTGGAATAGAGGTGATGAAAATACTAAAAATACTAAAAATAGGGCTAAGCTCAGAGGAACAAATTTAAATGGCCAAAGAGACGCTAAATCTCAAGTGAGTGTTCGGGCTAGCTTCAATGCACTGGATTGTGGCTTTAAAGATTTAAACAGATAGCAAGGATACTGAGCTAATGAGACAAGAAACGAAATGAGACCTGGTAATATCAAACGTGATACAACTAAAGAAGGTCACTGGGAATAAATTTATAGAAAGAGAACAATAAGAAGAGAAAAGAAGGGCGCCAACTCAACGATAGTTGAGATTTTGAAGTAACAAATGAATCTGGAGGTAATACTCTGAAATACAAAAATACTAAATATTAATCTTGTTTTGCTATGTTATATACTGGTTAGTAGAACTGAAATAAAACTCAAAATAGCAACAATAAATATATTTATAAACAAAGGTATATAGGTATATGTGTATAAACAATTTACATATAATGCAAAGCCAAATAACAGTGGTAGTGGATGGTGTACAGATACAATAGGACCTAATAGCCCCTCAACAAATGAATAGTCACTACCACTGGCCAAATAAAATATGAAATATTAGTATACAACAAGAATAGTCCGTAGGGTAGCCAAAGTCTTAAAACAAAAAGGTAGTCATTTAAATTTAAATTCGTTCTACTAAAATGAGGTACTAATGACAATATTGTAAAGATATCAAACTTGATAAATCTCTATTACAATTATATTAAATATATATATTACATCCAAAAAATGAGTTGTTCCATACTCATTATATAATATTTAAAAACAAACCACATTAAATTTATGTCCCTCTTAATATCAAATTGTATTATATTAACAAAAATATTATATCCAAAAAAAGTGAGTTTGGTCAGACTCTCTAAATCCTAGTTAAAACCTAATAACACATGAAGTGTCCCCTTTTCCTCCCGAATATTTTATAATTAAATTATCAAAAAAAAATTATCATAAAGGTATTCACCTTATCATATGCATATGATCAGTTAACAGTAAATATAAAGTAATACGTAATACAAAAGGTTAAATAGTTAAACGACTTATCTTTACAGCACTATAAGTCCATAGGAAAACTCCTCTTGGCACGGCTACATCAGTTTGTGGCTGTAAAGACGAATCCTGGTCACAAAAGCCACAACCAGTCACTGGTCTCTGGGTGACAGCAAAATCCACGGGTTTGCTAACTATGTATCTAAGGATTCTGTTACTAGTATCCTTGAGGGAATATTCTCAAGAGAATATCCTCAAGTAAAGTGAAAATAATATTTTCACGTGACGGAATCTAAAATGATTATTTAATTTAATAAATATGTAATTCAATAGGTGTAGCAACATGGATTGACTGCACCAAAACAAAACATCAAAACATTTGGTATTAGGTTAAGTCAACATCATGTCAAATTTATGAAGTTACTTTCGTAGGCATGGCAAGCTTGCGCCATGAAAAGAACATGCGCAGAATATAGAAGGCTGTCCACATTTGTCGAACCTTTTTATATTCCACCAAAAAAGTTAAGATACAAAATGGGAACCAAAAAAAAACTTAATGATAACGACGTGGAATAAAACAGAATTTAAGTTTAACTATATAAAAAAAATGACCTTCTGTTCTTTGCAAGTAAATCAAGGAAATTTTATATTTAAATTATTTCGGAACTCAAAAATAAATCTCTAAAGAAATACTAAATACAATGATAAATTTGATTATATGATAAGGAGATAATACGTATAAAATGATTTACTTACATGGAGCTCGCAACACGCCAAAAAACTCTTCCTTTTTATGTGGAACTCATAAATGAATATTGATTTTAAAATTAATTATTACTATTATTATAAATGAATTATATTTTTCCCCAAATTATCTTCCTTGCTCCAATTCCGTCACTTTGAATGTGAACAATTTCACCGGTTGGCGTGTCTGCGTTGGCGAGTTCTGACCAAAACTGATCGTTTTCGTACAAACTCGACCAATCTTTCAAAGCGCTAACCGCGTGTGGGGGAAAATGTCGATTCAAAATCGATCGTAGGCGGGTAATAAAAATTTCTTGAGGGGTTTAAATTGGACTAGTCAGTAGCGTAAACGCTACAACTTGACACTTAAAATCACCGGTTGTTTACATTTTTTATTTGAAATATCTTTTCTACAGCATACAGATTCTTGGTAAATCGATTTTTCCTATTCCTTCCTTCCTGACTGGAAATCTCCGATGCCTAGACTATATTTACAAAACGTATAATCAATTAGAAAACGAATGCAAATATACATCATTTTATTTAGGTATATAATAAAAAAAGAATAAATACAAAACAGCCAGTTGACAAAACAATTTAATTTTCATACATCTTTCCTCACTGTGTTATGTAAGTTCTAAATGACTTTAATTATGCCGACGAGCGAATATAATATGTGAACGTGTGAGATCTAGCTAGATTTTAAATAGAGTGTTCCTGACAAGAGTGTGAAAACCGCATTACTTGTTTAAATTGAGTAAAACTTCAAATTGAGTCCAAACTTTTAGTGGTATATTCTGAATTTAGTTTTTTCATTATTTATTCTGTATGGACAGGTTTTAAACTAAAGTTATGCTTTCTGCAGTTTTTTACTTGCTGGAATATTTACTAATTTTAAATAAATATTTATGTTATGTCATATTATGAATGTTTATTTAAATATAATATTATTTTATTTTTATGTTAAATAAAAAGGCGAAGGTGACACTGGCAAAGAAAAAGGTGAAGGTGAAGTTGAAGGTGAAGGTGGAGAGGAAGGAGAAGGAAACGTAGAAGGTGAAGAAGATGTTGAAAGAGGAGATACGTTTATGACGGGGAGAAATGGTATAAATTTCTAAAATATGTTCATATATGACTATTATATTAAAACATATATATTAAAATATATACAAACATACTGCGATTTTAAATATTCAACTGTTTCATTTTTTTTTTCATTCTTCCCCCTTTTTAGGATATATCTTTATTATAAGGTAAGTAACGTTTAAAGTTTACGTTTGTTTGTTTTACAAACGTAAAAACTAGTCTGAACTGAGTAGGGGCTTTTCTGTACTTCAGGGAAGACAGACTGGGCGGGGGATGTCGTCAACCTCGACACAGCACGTCCCATAGGTCCGAATAAGGCATTGCCAAATAAGTACCCGCGGATCAACTGAGGATATAACATTAGGCAGAAGTAATGTCATTACTGGATTAAGGCTGTGGGAAGTAAAAATCCTGTAGGCCTAATTCCAAATAATCACAGGCGTCACTCACATTATGCGATGAGAAAGGCAACGGGAAACCACCCCATTGTGATTCCTAGTAAAATAAACATGGCTCAATACAATCGTAACGGAAGTATTACTGATCATGGATCACGGAAACCAAGATCCGGCAGGGAAGGACGCGTATCTGACTGGAGGGCCTCCCCGGTCGTCATCACACGAAATCCCTACAATTTTAGAAGTACGACAACTTAAAAAATATCTAGCAGTACAATCAGATTAGGTACCTGGAACGTTAAAAGCCTTTATGTAGCAGGTAAGCTCAGTAACTTAGTTCAAGAGGTTAAACGTTTAACAATTGATAAAATTGATATATCAGGTATCGGTGAGCTCCGGTGGCCTGGAACCGGAATATGTGAACAAAATGAAGGTACACTATACTATTCTGGAAGTGTAGAAGATGACACACATCATAGAAATAAAGTTGGTATATTTATAACGTCTAAATTTAAGAAATATGTGAAAAATTTTATACCAGTGAACGACAGACTAGCAATACTCCAATTAAAAAGAAATACGATAATGATGTCGAATCATTCTATAGCCAATTAAAACCGACACTTAAAAATCTAAAAAGTAACGAAGTCACATATATCATTGGAGCTTTTAACGAAAAAATTGGCCAAGGCCGAAGATCTGACCTGGTAGGTGAATATGGACTAGGGGAAAGCAAGGAAAGACGATAGATTATACCAGTTCTGTCAAGAACATGATAATCGCAAATACATAGTTCAAATTACACAAAAGAAGGTTATACACATGGAGGGGACCAGGAGATAATGCACTACATATGATTAGAAATCAGATAGGTAAACAAGAGATTTAAGAATGGCGTCACCAGAGTAACGACATATCCTGGTGCAGATATCGGTTCAGATCATAACCCTGTAATAACTGACACTAACTGAAGCTCAAAAAAGTTCAAGAAAGCCCCAAAACACCAAAATTAAATATCTTAATATCCAACAAAACGTTAATAGAAAATTACTTAAAAAATGAGCTAAATAACCAATAAATGAAAACAACACAGAAATATGGAACACATTTAAGGATCTTACCTTGAAAGTAATAGAAAAATATTCGTTACACAACAACGTTACACAGGCACAAAAAACAACAATGGATGACTGATAAAATCCTGGAATTAATCGAGCAGAGAAGGAAACTGTAAGGTAACAAGTCAAAATATAAGGAAAAACAGAAACTAATTAAACAAAAATAAAGGTGGGTAAAGAAAAATGGATGGCGGATCAATGCAAGGAAGTAGAGGAGTTAAATGAAAAACATAATACGTTTAATATGTTTAAAAAAGTTTGAGAAGTAGCTGGTCTTTATCATAAGAAAACTCCACATACTATAACCGATTCGTCGGGAAAAATGATAACAGACGAACATGAAATTCGAACAACCTGGTGTAATTATATAAGTGAACTGTATAATGATGATAGACCCGAAGAACTGGAGACTTTAGTTGAAGGTGAAGGACCAGAAATAATAAAATCAGAAATACTACATGCTATAAAGTTAGCAAAGAACAAGAAAGTCGTTGGGCCTGATAACATACCGACAGAGATGTTAAAGTTTATAAATAAGGAGAACATTGGAATACTGGTCAAGCTGTTCAATGATGTTTATTCGACTGGTGATATTCCTGAAGATTGGTTAAAGTCCGAATTCATAACACTACCAAAAAAACAACGTCCGAAAACTGTAGCGATTATAAAATAATAAGCCTTATAAGCCACACTTTGAAAATATTTCTACGCATCATCCACAGTAGAATCAGAGGTAAATGTGAAGAAAACCAGGATGAAACACAATTTGGCTTCAGAAATGGACTGGAAACTCGGGACGCCCTCTTTGCACTAAATGTATTACTGCAGAAATGCCGAGATCAAAGGAAAGACGTCTTTGTTGTATTTATTGACTATGAGAAGGCCTTTGATCAAGTACAGCATCACAAATTAATTACAATATTAAAAGATAAAGGAGTTGGTAGTCAAGACATACGATTCATAGAAAAGTTACACTGGCGAGCGACAGCTTGCATAAACGGAAAATCAACAGAAATATGTAAAATAAAAAGAGGTGTCAGACAGGGTTGTATACTATCTCCACTGTTATTTAATTTATGTTCCGATAGAATATTTGAAGAAGCGCTGCGTAATTTGGAATGGGGCGTGAAAGTTAATGGAATTCTGATAAATACAATCAGATATGCAGACGATACAGTTATTTTGAGTGATGATATGAATGGACTACAATGCCTTTTAAATGCCATTGATACAGTGGGAAGAGAGTTTGGCCTAAACATAAACTGTTCAAAAACAAAACACATGGTGTTTAGCCGCTTAGCACATCAAGATGCACGATAATATGTTGATGGTCATATAATTCAAAGAGTGTCCAGTTTTAATTAACTTGGTTGCCATATTACTGAACAACTAGATCCAGATCAAGAGATAAAATGTAGAATCGAGATAGCCCGCACGACATTTTTAAAAATGAGGTCATTCTTCTGTAATGATAACTTGCAACTTCAACTTTGAAAGCGCATGGTTAAATGCTACATTTGGTCAGTCCTCTTATACGGTTTTGAAGCATGGACATTAAAAATATCCACCATTAATCGTCTGGAGGCCTTTGAAATGTGGCTGAACAGACGTATACTAAAAATTCCATGGACGGCAATGCTGACAAATGTGGCAGTCCTTGAGAGAGCAAATGCTGCTCGCGAGCTGCTTGATAACATCAAATGTAGAAAGATAGCCTATTTTGGACACGAAGTTAGAGGAGACCGATATAATATTCTTTAACTTATTATAATGGGTAAATTCGAAGGACGCAGAGGAATTGGTAGAAAGCAGGTCTCTTGATTGAAGAATATCAGGGAGTGGACAGGAATAAGGAAAGCTGAGCAACTCTTTAGAATAGCTCCAGACACAGACAGTTTCGCCATGTTCATCACCAACGTCAAGGGGACTTGATAGGGCACGTTAAAAAGAAGAAGAAAAACTAAACTAAGAGCTGAATGTGGATCCGATCATAAATTGTTATGGACTTTCTTCAAGATAAAGCTAAAAAGAACAATGCCGCACCACCATCAAAACAGGCTGGAGGTATCAAATCCGAAAAGATTTAGAGATGCATTAAAGGAAACCAGTATGTGCAACACACAAGACAACCCAGAAGAATTTTAGAAAGGTTTAAGAAATTCCATAGAAACATATGTAAAGAGAACCAGAACCAAAAAAAATCATCAAGAGAAAACACTGGATGACAGACAAAACTTTGCAACGTCTCTAAGAGCGAAGGAGAATCAAATCTCTCATATATTAAAACGACAGTAACAAAAACGAATTACCAAGGTTAAATGGAAAAATTAAAAGAGCATGTAGGGATTATAAAAATAAACATATAAATGCGACTAAATAGAATGCGAAGAACTAGAGAGACATGCAAACCGATATGAATCCTATGAGCTATATAATAAAGTCCGATATCTATCCAAAGAATTTAAACCAATCACACAAACAATAATGGATCAAAACCAATATATTATAAATGACAAGAAAGGGATTGCGAAGGTATGGAGAAAATATTGTCAAAGTATATATGCAGATGACCCCCAGAATGCAAATCACGATAAGTTCACTGCAAAAAGAGAACCATACATTATAAAGTCAGAGGTAGAAAAAGTAATCAAAAAGTTAAAAAATGGAAAATCTCCTGGCGCAGACCAGATTACCGCAGAAGATTTAAAATAGACTGGAGATGTTGGAGTAAATATTATGCATATAACCTGCAAAAAACTTTAGGAAACCGGAAAGTGGCCAAACGACTGGATAAAATCCACTTTCATCCCTATATTCAAAAAAGGAACTTCGCTAGATTGCAGCAACTAGAGAACGGTAACCCTAATATCCCATGCAAGCAAGGTTCTACTTCATATAATACATGAAAGACTAAAAGCGTTTCTATTGCCTCAGATATCAGAAGAACAAGCGATATTTGTCCCAGAAAAAGGCACAAGAGAACACATCCTTAATGTCAGACAGCTAATCGAAAAAACTCGTGAATTCAACACTCCTATGCTATGGTCCATACTAGCGGAAATGAAAATACCCCACCACCTAATTTAACTAATTAGAAGTCTATATAAAAATAATCTATCTGTGAACAAGCACTCGAGAAAGAAGATCTTGGTCTGATAATAAATGGTGAGACGATCAACAATATAAGGTATGCTGACGATACAGTTCTCCTAACGGGAACGCTAGTAGAACTACAACATCTCGTTCAAAGTCTTAATATATACTGTAACAGTTACGGCTTGAAAATTAATTTGAAAAAAACTAAATTTATGGTAATCACGAAATCAAAGAACATCAGAGCTAATCTTGTAATAGACAATACAACGATTGAGCGTGTGCTCTGTTATAAATATCTAGGTGCTTGGATCACAGACGATACTGATCAAACAAAAGAGATTAGATGTAGAATAGAAATCGCTGCATTAGTCTTTAATAGAATGCGAAAACTCTTTTGCAATCGTAATATCAATATAAAGCTACGAATACGAATGCTGCGGTGTTATGTCTTTTCTACCCTGTTATATGGAGTTGAGGCTTGGACACTAAAA